AAGGGAAATGAAATTGGTATTTAGTGATGTCGCAAGATTTACCCAGCTCTTTTTTTGTGCTTTGGAGATTTACTCTTGCATTCCTCTTGCAATGCTTCCTTCAACTGCTTTTCGTTCCTAATATTGAAGTTTTTAAACCCTTTCTTAACGATAAACCATAATTTCTCTATGGGGTTTATATTTGGGCTCTGCGGTGGTGGTTCTTCTCGCTCCATTTTTTCCCCGCTCCATCACTGGATTCATCAGTGCATATGACATGTCTCCAGAAACGAAAGTATTTGTTTTTGTACATTCTTGCAAATCGTAAACGCTTGACACTGTTCGTTGTGCTTATGTAAGGCTTTCCTGCAGCAGATCTACACCTATTTTTTTGTTTTTGGAGAGCGTTACGAACGGTTTGCGCTGTTACAGCTACAGTTTGATATTCTAATAACATTTTAGCCAACATAGGTGCTGAAATTAGGTGGTCCTTACGTAGTCTTTTCACCAAAAATTACATATTTCTATGTGAAAGTTTCTTTTTGCAGTCACCTCGCTGCCATTTTGTATTTTTGAAAATTGTTAAAAGGCAAAGGAGCATAAATCGTTTGCAAAACATTTCTCTCAAAGACTCCCAAAACCGTCTCTCCAGATGGCGACATCGTCCATGCCGCACCATGCAGCAGGACGGGAACGATGAGCTACTTGTAGAGTTTAGGTTTATTTCGGAAAGAGAGCACTTTACTTTTCCATTTCCTACGCTGTCCAAATTAGCACCTTTTGACAAGAGTGATTCTTCGTAGGATTTCAAGGCTGACGTTGTTATTGGTGTTAATGCTGGTCTGCTGGATAGACGAAATTATCTACAACCTCAAAGTTATGGCTGTTAACAGTATGGGAGCCGAGTCGCGTATGCTATGACGAAACGCTTCCTTATCTTTTCTGGATAAGGCAGAACTAACGGCGTAGTTTTGAGTTGGTCAAGTGACACGGCAAAAATTAATCTTGTTAAAAACCTCATTTTGTATCAAATGCCTCGGAGAGGTCGTTCTCGATACTGATTGAGATTTTGGTGTTGCTTAGCCTCACTACCGGTCTATATTGAACAGAAAAATAATAGGATAGTAACTGATGAAATTAAGCTAGAAACTACAATATATATCTTAAATAATATATATACCAATAAACCAGCTCTTGGAATGTTCTCTGAAATTTACTCGGCGAATGATATATTCTCCAAGGGCTCAACGACAATATAAAAAGATCCCCGAACTCAAAAGATGAGAAGCCTCTACATATATAATTTATTCTCACGACAATATAGTGGAATTATTAAGATGAAATGAAGGGAGCTTTATGTTCAGCCAGGCTGGTATTAAATTCTATCGACCACATGAAAAGCTGTTGTTGTTGTTGTTGTTGTAACCGCAAAATTATTCCCCAAAGTACTTTTTGGGGAATGTTGCGGGAGTGACAGTCCTTGGCCGGATAAAAATCCGGGTCGTTCCGGTATAAAGACCCGACTGTCGCGGGAACTATTGGATTTTAGTCGCCTCTTACGACAGGCATACCTTACCGCGGGTAAATTCTTGAGCCCCTAACCCGCAGGGGTACACATGAAAAGCTCTTAATAACCGGTTACGGTTCAAAAGAATATTAACTGAAAGCTCATCTATTTAGCGAGAGAATAATTAAGTAAGTCTTTTCGGGTTATACGAGCGGGTGGACTGCTTCCTGTGTTGGAGAATTTTCGCACTATTCTACAAGTTCTAGGACGGCGTGGAAAAGTTCTATCGTAGTATGTAAAAAAAAGACAGATTATAGTAATTGAACTTATTACCGAATGCACTTAGTGAAAATTATTAAAAAAAAATTTAAAATACTTTAATTCATCTTTAACACCATTTACCTGCTCCACCTAATTGGTGACACACAAATTTATCTAAACACCGATCGAATTGGTGTATGCTGTCAATCGCCATGAAGTCATGTCGAGTTTGCGTGTTGGCACACTGTTAAACCCGAAACGCCGGAGGTCCAATCTTCAAGGCGGGCCGACGAAACAAGCGAAAAAAATGCAGATAAACAAAAAAATATATACATATGTAGGCGAGTACAATACGTGCAGAGTAGTAGTGAAAATAATGACATTATCACCCACATGCAGGGTGCGACTGGTCAGTCAGTAGTCAAAGACGACAGCGGTGTTGGTGGCGGCGGCGGCGGCGACGGCAGTTAAAACACTGGTAGGTCTACCAGTGGCGAAGAGACAACAATCAAAGGAAGTTGCTAGCAAGTCGGTCATTTAGTCCTGACTTCTCGCCTTTTACTATGAACTCGTACATAGATTTAAGTATTCTCCCTAAGCCAAGTTGGCCATGTGTATGTGTTGTGTTGCCAGTTTATTTATGCAATAATAAATTGTGCGTGTCACAAACAAATGATAAACACTTTTGTCTCTTTTTGCCGACGCACACGCACACGCACACGCACTCTCCCTCTCTCTCTCTCTGTATAAATCTCGTATAAAATAACTAAACTGGCGATTGTCCTTTTTGTTTTGTGGACAATAGTGGGTCAATGATGATGGTGATCTACTGACTTCTTGCACCAATTAGTTGCATATACATATGCACATACATGGGCACAAATGTCATGTGTTTTCAATGTTTGTTTGTATGTACATATGTATCATATGAAAAAAAATCGATTCTGCGTTTTGTATGTCAGTGTGAGCGGGAAATTTGTTGGGACATTCTTGTTTTATCAGCAAATTTTTGTTGGGGGACATGCGGCTTGCGCTTTAGATCCTTTCATTTTACACATTTTCACATTAGTCGATTTGTGTATGTGTTGTATGCGGTATGTATGTATGTACGTGTATGCGCCACATAACTGACCGTATGACATTAAAGAGCATTTCTTAAAAACACCGAAACCGAGCAAAGTGACCAATGTGAAATTGAGGCTGCTCCTTGGGTGTTGCATGTATTCGTATGTATGCACAATAAAGTCTATTACGCACTGTGTTTCTGGGTGTTCCATTGTTGACATCACAAACTGCGGGTGTTGGACAATTTAATTCCATGAATTGAGCGGTTGGACGTATCAATAGATAAGTAGAGTCGGAAGTTCAAAGTGGAACACTGGATTTTCCGCATTATTGTTTTTTTTTTACTGCAAACGAGATTGTAGGTGCCATTGATGAACGGTAAGTCTTGCAGACGCTTATAACGACTGGGAAGAATAATATACGAGTTCTGGTTGCACCAAGATGCAAAATTACTCAATAAGTTGTTTTCCCAATGCGGTTGTCGCTCGGCAAAAAATTTCAGGCTCTCCGGCCGTATTGTATTTCCGTTATGCAAAAAAATACCTACTCATTTCGAACAATTGGCCGTTCGGAGGCGTCCGAAGGGCGCTTTAGAAGTTGCGGTCGAAGCAGATGAGGAAGCTAAAATGTAGCCACAAGTAGTGCATACAAACCGCCTTCCGGAATCTTTGAAAAACTGTAATTAAGATGCAAAATATTCGATTCCGTCAATGTCAGAAATTGATATAATCTCTATACTTTCTAGAATCGCATAACACATATCGAGATCCACTCGTCAAAGTATTTCGTACAGCATCACCACCTAAGGTATTGACTCCAGAAGAGTACAAATACAGAAATCCGAGAGTCCTGCCCCTTCTGCTTACGATCAGATTGTACTAGACAGTGGTCCAATTTCTACCAAACCATATCTGAGTATTTACTCCCTTTCTTTAGGGTCCACTTTGTTATTGTTGGCTATGAAAATCTCTCACACAGCGTGGAAGCTCTAACTGGGCATTGCCAGATAGGTATTCACACGGTGAAGCTTGGTCAGGCTTTACTGAATTCCGATTGTTTTAAGGAGCAGGAGGAAGGGTCTAAGCACTTGATGGTGAGCTGTCCTTCTTTTGCAAAGTTCTGATTGAAAGTTCTCGAATCACATACATTTTCCAACGTAGAAGAATTAATAAACATACATATGTAATTGTTGCTTTGTAACCGCTGAGGCGATTTAGTGACCGAGCTCCTCCCCCAATTCGTTTGTGTGCTTTGATATTTTTCTAACAAATGAAAAGACCTACAGTTCATTCTAGGTAGGCTTCGAATAGTACCTGGAGCTTAATTAGAAGCTTCTATTTCGTGTCGGAAATATAGTCGGAGAGCTGGACATTCCCTTCCGACTGCAATTCGAAAAATAGTTTTTTGTCTAATTTTGGATGTTGGTTAGACCAGGACTCAAACCCTGGCTTTCTAAATGGTAGTACACACTGCTAACCACTCGACTATATTGGTTTTAGGGGAATATTCAAATTTGCTTAGTAGATTATTATGCTCCATTGAATAAAAAGTGGTATCAAAGTGGCACTGTTCAGAGATGTTATGAAAAACGTAGATTTTTGGACACTCTAAAGAAATAAAGAGTTTCGTATCCAGTTATCTTTGCAGAAAGGTACCTTTAGTGAATATGCTCATTACGCCTATGAGGAATCTTTTTAAAATCAACCTAACCTAACTTACGCTAGGCAGATAGTAACCTCTCTGTACTGTCATACATACATACATATTTTGGTTCTAACCCAGTATTTTCTCTTGTTGGAAGTTAGACTAAAACCAAAAACTGACGATTCCATACATTTGATGATTTTGGTTTGCTTGGTAAAAGACATAAAATAATTTTTTAATATAAAGAAAATTATGAAAAGTAGACATCAGCAATTAGCTGTTTAATTGCATTTACATAGGAATTCATGTTTTATTAAAATATGAAATAATATTTCATAATGTCATTTAATTGTTTTTTTTTTTTAACCCTTAGCAAAAATGTTAAGAGTTCAACGTTTAATAATTATAATTCCACCAATAGCAAAAGAAAAAAACCGAATGAGTCTTATACGTGCACATATCTACATACATAAATGCGCAAATAATTCGCAGCACTATTTACGAAATTCGAACACACCCACATTTGTTTTTGTTTTCGCACACCTGTTCGCAGAATTCATAATGAAAACCGTTTGCGAGTACAAATAATTGTCATTCCAGTTGAAATATTAACAAAAGCAATTAGTAGTGTGTGTTTATTAGTGTTTTGTTGTGATTTCTATTTCAATTAACTTAATTAATTTGAAAATAGCTAATACAAAAGTATTTGAATGCAAAAGAAATGGCGTCGAGAAAAAATCAAAGCAATTTTGTTGCTAAATAAAGTTCTAGTAAAATATGAGTGCGTAAGTAAGCGAACTTGGTTTTCATTGTTTAGCGAAGTATTTGTGTATGTAACAAGCAGTGTTTTGTGATTTTTTCTTTATCAATGGTCAAATCAATGCGCGCCGTTATTCTGCTGGCGTATATTTCTTTTTTCGGGTTTTGAATTTAAATTCCTTCCTGAGCTGCTGCCCGGCTTTTCGCCTTTGCGCTTTTGGTGCGTTCTCTTTCATTTGCGAAAGAATTGCCAATTGCAGTGGATTTAAGTTTCAAAGACAGGGTGTTTGTTCTTAATTTATATTTGTTTTTAGAATGATAATATTTCAGTTTATTTCAAAATAAATGTTTGAAAACTTTTCACCTACGCATATTAACAAGTTTAGCAAAGGATGTTAAGCAGCTTAGTGGATAAAAAAATGTATTAAATGCTCCATTGAAAAATCTGCGTTTTTATTGGCATATCTATTTTTTTTTACAAACAAAAAATTAGTAGTTTACTTAATAAAATTAATGCTGCAAAAACAAATTATAAATATAAAGGTTGAACCTGATACCTAATCCTGCCTATACAATCAGTCAATTAACGCCTGAAAGTACTGGGGATTCCAACACAACACACTGACCAAGCTGTTAAGAAAATAGCGGCTAAATTAGCGCACTTAATAGTTCTTGGTTAATAATGAATTGAATAATACAACAACAGATTATATGGCTGATGTTGGCGCAGTGGTAGAACACTCGCCTGTTAAGTCAGGATCCGTTGGTTCGATCCCTGCCATAAAAAGTCTGATGAGGAGATGTGGTGATCTCCGAAACAGCTGTCACTTTTCAACCATTTTTCTTTGTTGTATAACAAATATTCAATTCATACAAACAACAAGGCCTCGTAGTTTACTTAATAAAATTAATATATAGCATGGCCGCAAAAACAAATTATAAATTTATACATTTACATATATAAAATGCTTACTGCATTCATATTTTCATTTCTTAGCCTGGTACTCTTCTCAATTATTTCTGTAAGCAGTAAAAAATATGAAAATTACTAGCTCATGAAAAAAATAAATAAAAATATTTTACAAAGTAACCAGTAACACATCGCAGAGGAAGTTGTAATTTACTGTAATATGAGTTTTAAACTGTAAATTAATGTTTTGAATGTTTGGATTCCTGAGTCATTTGCTGCAGTTTGTCTTTTTTGAGCATGAGTGGGATTACAAGGCTTAAGTTTTGATTATATACAAGACTGTCTCGCTATTAATTAAACTAAATTTGTATTTTCCGCTAAGCAAGATTGTCTGTAATCACAGCAAATACATTGACATCAGACTAATTGCAGTGAACAGTGAAAGGATTTTTTTTTTTTGTAAAAATATATGGAACTCTTTTATGCTAAAAAAAGGAAAAAAAAATTATTTTTTAAATGAAATGCAATTCTTTTATAACTTTCAAATTAAATGAGCAAAATTTGCACGTATTTTCTTCCAGATGAGCGGCAAACGTTCGCGTAGTTTTAAGTGTGCTGTTCATCATCGTGATCGTGAAGTTTGCTCTGAAAATGATTTTCATCTTGTACTAGAAGAGCCGCCGTTCTTTAAGAAGATGATACATGTGGTAGCTATGGAAATACTACCTGAGGAGCGTGATCGAAAATACTATGCCGATCGCTATTCTTGTTGTCCGCCGCCTTTATTCATTATATTAATGACAATCATTGAGGTAAATAAATTATTATTTATTAATTTTATATTAAGATTTTCTAAGAACTCTATTATAAGTAATTAAAGTGTTTGAGTAAAAATATTAAAATTTATTAAGGCAAAAGAATACCTACATACATGCGTGTGTGCATGTGTGTGTAAAAAATATGATAACATTATTTGATTAGTAATAAAATCTATTATAGGCTTATGTACTTTGCTATGCAAAGTGTTAAGAACTTTAGTATGCAAGGAATATATTTTGAATGTCATTTGAATTACAAATGCATAGTTGTAAATTTGAAATGTTGAATATTTGTTTAGTGTTTGTAGAAGCGGCTTGCAAATGCTTTGTAGTTACTCTTAATGTGTCTATAATAAATATTTTCAAATATTCAATTACCACAAATATGTGTAATATGTAGTTGCTATGTGTGTATGTGCATTTATTCTCATGCAAAAATGCATTTTAAAATCTAGGCATGTATACATACATATATAATTTTTACCTAGATTGAAAACTACTTTATTGAAAAGTAATAAAATATTCATAAATAAATAAGTGAGTGTTATAAAAATACCATACTTGATTTTGTACAGTTATATGTAATTGCATACATACATATTTGGTTGACAAATATTTTAAATACTAAAAGTGGAAAATAACATAAAAATGCTGCAAATATGGTTAATAGTTGGTTTTATATGTCATTTTTGTCTTATATGATTGTACTAACTGAAGAGAATGTATGTATGTCGATACGTATATGTTAGTTAGTTATGCGAGGTCATAGCATGCAGAATTTATACAAACATATTGTACATATTGTGCATACATATTTATATCGTAATGTACATCTTAAAATAAACAGAAGAAGAAATTTAAATCTAACAAAAATTTTTATTTCGGTTTTTGTATTTTAACAATCACGAACCTATTTTTTTATTTATTAATATTTACACTCTTTCCCTCATTTCTACCAGCTCTGTTTCTTTGCCTATCATACACTTATTATTGGTGAAGCGGAACCAGCGGGTCCAGTTCCAATTGACTCTTTCTTCATCTACCGTCCGGATAAACGTATTGAAGTATGGCGTTTCGTATTGTATATGGTATTACATGCTGGTTGGTTTCATCTCAGCTTTAATTTATGTGTGCAATTACTTTTTGGTTTACCACTAGAGATGGTACATGGTTCCGGGAGAATTGCTTGTATATATTTTTCAGGCGTATTAGCGGGTTCATTAGGTAATAACCACTAATAAATAATTTACAAATTAAATTTTTGTGCAGTTTTTGTTATTAGTATTACTTTTTTAACATTTTAATTTATTTTATTTTTAATATGTATTTTTTAATTTTTATAATAATTATTTTTTATATAATTTAAAATTTCAATAATATGTATTTTTTTATTTTTAATGTGTATTTTTTATTTGTTTTTTTTTTTTTTTTTACATATTGTTTTTATATTTTATTTTTATTGTTTACATAAATATTTTGTTTTNTTAGCGGGTTCATTAGGTAATAACCACTAATAAATAATTTACAAATTAAATTTTTGTGCAGTTTTTGTTATTAGTATTACTTTTTTAACATTTTAATTTTTTTTATTATAATTCTTATTTTCATAATTTTTATAATATTTTTTTTTTATTTTTTTTTTTTTTTTCTTAATATTTTTTTTTTAACTTTTAATATGTATTTCTTTCATATTTTTATATTTTATTTTACATATTGTTTTGATATTTTATTTTTATTGTTTACATAAATATTTTGTTTTGTTTCTAAGATTTTTTTTAATATTTTTTTTATTTTTTTAATACTTTTTATTTTTTTTTATTTTTTGTTAGTATGATTTAATTTTTTTTACATACATACGAATGTATATATTTTTTATTATATATTTTTTATTATTATATATTTTTTATTATTATATATTTTTTTATTATTACATATTTTTTTATTATTACATATTTTTTTTTTATTTTTCTTACATTATTTCCGTTTTAATATCACTTTTTATAATATTTTTTGTAATCCCTTAACATTTTACATAGGAACCAGCATATTTGATCCCGAAGTGTATTTAGTGGGCGCCAGTGGCGGTGTGTACGCGCTGTTAGCCGCTCACCTGGCCAATGTCATGCTGAACTTTCATCAGATGCGTTATGGCATACTAAGGTTGATTGCAATTTTGGCATTTGGTAAGCAGAAAAAATAAGAAAATATGTGGATATATGTACATTTGTATATCATATACATACATATATTTCAGAAAAATATAATTTCATATTAACTTTTTTTTTATCTAATTTTATTTCATTTACTTTCTCTCTTAGCGTCCTGTGATTTTGGTTTTGCCATCTATGCGCGTTACGCTGCTGATTATCCCTACAGTCCGTCTGTGTCGTATGTCGCACATTTGACTGGTGCCTTAGCTGGTCTAACTATTGGCCTAATTGTATTGAAGAATTTCGAACAAAAATTACACGAACAACTTTTATGGTGGATTGCACTGGGCATTTACACTGCTTGCATTATATTTGCTATCGTTTTCAATGTATTGAATAGTGCTGCAGTGCTGAGTCTAGATGTTGAGCCTATTTATGCGACTGAGACATTTTTCAATGATTTTCATGTATAATATATGTATGTATATATATATGTACATATGTGGCTAAGAAAAATGCGTAGTGTTTCTGAACGAGTGAAATATTGAATATGAGTATAAATTATTTTTCTGAAGGAAATGTATATACGAGTATATATAAAAATATTTCTAAGTAAGCTTTTTGGTTAAGCGCTTAAAGAAATCGATTTGTTTGTATTATAAAATGCTGAACCGATTTTGTAAAATGTATATATGTACGTTATTATGTGTTAAGTTCTTTTTTAGCTGGAAAAAATGAAAATTATGTTTTTTGTTTGTTGATAATTAGTTTGAAATTATTTTTGTTATCAAATAAATACATACATAAAGTAATGTACATACATATGTAGCTAAAAAAATAAAGTTTCTGTGAAGAGTTTAAAAAATTAATATTGTTTTTTTTTTCATATATACATAAAAGCAGCGAACTAACAATCAAAACCTAATTAATTCGGTGATTTTATATAAAAAATCTCAGCAGATCGTGCAATAAATTGAGTATGAGTATTTTAAGTTTTGCCTTAAGTGTAGTTTTAAGCAAAAATTTTTGAGTTTGAGGCTTAAAATGTATGTATGCATATGATGAATTTTGAAAAGTTTCTAAATTGTCAGTACAAATAGCTACTTTTGTAGGGCATATTAAAAAAATATATGTATATCAGAACTATATTTATGTAAATAAAATATTTAGTTGTAAACGTCTGCAGAAAAAAGAAAACTGTTAACCGTTTGTACGAGTATATGTATGTACGGAAGGGGGACAATTAATTAACGGGTATAATTTTGATGTATATTGTTTAAATTTTTTTTTTGATTTTTTTTTAAATTTTTTTTATTTATTTTAATATTTTTCTTTTTTTAAGTACTTTTGATATTTGTTTATTTTTAAATTTTTAATATTGTTAGTTATTTAATATTTAATAATTTAATAGTTTTTTTATTTTTGTAAAATTTTGATTTTTGTTTTTGAATTTCTGGTATGTTTTTTGATATTTTTTACTAGTTTATTTATTTTTTTAATATTTCTTGTTATTTTTATATTTTTTAATATTTCTTGTTATTTTTTTTAATTTTTAATATTTTTAATTTTTTTTTTTAATATTTTTAATTATTTTTTTTATTTTTTTTAAATTTTTTTTTAATTTTTTATTTAGGTTTTGTTAATTTTTTAATAATTTTTATTTTTTATATTTTTATATTTACAGATACATTTTTTTATATTTTTTTTTATATATTTTTTATATTTTTTTTTATATATTTTTTATATTTTTTTTTATAGTTTCTATATTCTTTTTCTGATATTTTTTTTATATTTATATGCTTATCAACTTTCCTGCAAATTATTTTTTTACCGCTTTTTGCCATAAGTTTAATTCAGTTCATTTAAACCTTTCATTTTAAATATCCTGCCATTAATTAAATGAATATTATAAAAAAAAATTTAAATACTTTAATACCTTTATATCATTATTGCTTTTTTATTACTTATTTGTATTTAATAATACAATACTTTGTTTAATTGTCTGCCGGTATGTGAATATGAGCACACATGTGTATGTATGTATACTTATGTACATATCTGACTGAACACATAATTAAAATGAAATGCATCATTTCAATAGATAAAAATTCATAAACTTATAAATACAATATAAATATGGAATACATTCGGTTTCAAAATATAAGTCGAGTAGTTCAATATGACAATAAATTAAGGTTTTTTTTTTTATCTATAAGTGGCTAATACCATGCTGAAACTTACATATTAATTTAAAATAAATAAATTTCGGCTTCTTTTAACATTGAAAAAAGTGCTAAACGGTTTTAATTAATTTTTTTTGGTAAAATCTTTAACACCTCAAGTAGTAAGCACATTACTCGATTTTAATAATTTTTTTTGGCACATTTTTTATCATAATTTTTATTTATATCATTTATTTTTTTTTAATATTTTTAATTAGTTTTTGCTATTTTTTTTTAAATATTTTTAATTAATTTTTATTATATTTTTAATATTTTTAAGTATTTTTTTAAATTTTTTTTAATAATTTTAATAAGTTTTCTTTATTTTTTAATATTTTCAATTACTTTTCCTAATTTTTTAATATTTTTAATTATTATTTTTAATATTTCTAATTAGTTTTATATATTTTTTATATTTTTAATATTTTCAATTAGTTTTATATATTTATTTTATTTTTTATATTTTTTTATATTTTTTATAATATTTTATATTTTTTTTTTATATTTATACTCGTATGCTTATTTACTTTTCTTCTAATAATTTTTTACCACTTTTTGTCTATAATTTAATTGGTGATTTTTTTCAACGAAAACTACTAAAATTTGAATTATTTAGATGCAAATAAAATGAGCCTATAAATTACTTTTAAAAGCATTTAAAAAAGATTTAAGTATTTTTCACTTACATATGGCGACTTTAGTAATAAATTTACTAAAATAAATTCAATTGTAGTATACAAAATTAAAACCAACACTGCCATTTAAAGATATCTCGTAATTCTCACTCGCAAATAAATCAATTAATTTATTCAATCGATTGTACTGCGAACTATTTTAATATTAAATCGACACTTTGTATAATAAAGAATATGATAACTATTTAATTACAATTTTTAAATAAATAAATAAATAATTTTTACATATGCATAAAGATAATTAAATGGGATTTGAACGTATTTGACATTTTTTGAGTAATTCAAACCAGTTGAAACAAAAAATATGTAACAGTTTAAAAAACTCGTGTGTATGTCTATATTTAAAACATATTAACTATATTTATATTACATTTTTTTTCAGTGAACGTGAAAAGTGTAATTTGAGCGAAAACCTCTTTAACAAGCTTTAAAAAATATAAAAATAAATTTTAAAAGTTACCCAGGACATAATTAAACGAAATTGGGAGAAAAACTATTAATTAAAACTAAACTTCGTTGGATTTAATAAACACTAAATTGGAGTAGACAACTCTCTCATTGTAAGACCACAAATTGAGTTGACTTTTGAACTGAAACTATGGTAATAAAAGGAAAAATAAATTCCAAATTCCGTAAATAATCAATAAAGAGTGCCTCATGAGCTTTCTTAATAAATAGAATTTTTCTTAAACTGAAAAGCTGTGCTTTCCCTTTTGTTAAAAAATGGAAAACCTGATCCGAGGGAGTTTTTTTTATAGACATAAAGCTCACATGAGAATTGTTTGTCGATCTAGTGCATTTCGTGGAACTCATGCAGTTCAGGTCATCTTTGTATAGAATGGGATTAAGCCTCCTTTGGCTTTGACGGAAAAGTCGGCAGATGAAGGTTGAGAGTTATTGTTTGATAACTGTTTCTTCTTAATTTTAATTAATGGCAAGGACTTGGAGACAAGAAATGAAATCAGATCACGTTCTACAAGAAGAGAAGACGACTTTCTCTTCCTCTCTTTTTCTCTCTGTTTATTTCCCTCTCTCTCTCTCTTTATCTCTCTCTCTCTCTCTCTTTATCTCTCTCTCTCTTTATCTCTCTCTCTCTCTCTTTATTTCTCTCTGTCGCTCTGTTTATTTCTCTCTCTCTCTCTCTTTATCTCTCTCGCTTTATTTCTCTCTTTCTCTCTCTTTATTTCTCTCTTTCTCTCTCTCCTTATTTCTCTCTTTCTCTCTCTCTTTATAAGTCAAGTCGGTGTGCCAAGTGGCGCCAGGTCTCTTACCACCTGACCTTTTCGACGAAGTGAAGACGTTGTTCAACAACAACAACAACAACGAAGTGAAGACCGTTCTCTCTCCTTCTCTGCTTCCACTGACGAGTACTCTGTAGAAAACGATCATTTCAAATTTATTGACTCAATGATTTTACAAACCTTACAGAGTAGATGCATTTGCTGTACTATATCAATGTAATTGTAAATGCTGCCCATCGCTCTATCGAAAACCTTAAGCTGACTCATCGGATGCTGTTATCAATGTTATTTAGGCCTCTGCGTCATGTATCGGCACGGCAATAATGTGCCACGCGTAGTATTTAATATCTGTTCGTCATGAGAGTAACCTACTCAGTCCAAAGTAACCACTGTCGGCATGAGGTATTAATAATATCAGTTGAACACTCTAGAAAAAACCGCACCGTTAGTTTAAAGAACGCATATAAGTCTCTTTGACTGAAAACTCTTTTGGTATTTACCGCAGGGCTCGTTACTAATTCTGACCGAGCTTTTGCGAGAGCTTTTTGTCGTTATTAGCTTGATTTCTCACGGGACTTTGCCAAGAACTGGCGCAGGATGAACAATGGATCTACTATGCCTAATAAGATCGGATGATTTCAGCGAGTACATCGAGTTTGTTGCCACTGACAGAACCCATAGTCCTATTAAGGCTTGGAGCAGAGCACACTTATTTTCCAACAGTGAGAGAAATATAACCACTAATAATCGGGAGAGGAGTGATAGTGCCTGAACATATCTATGTATTTATAAAGGTCTAATTAGGAAATGCAAGATCGTTCGGACCGAAAAAAACTGGGGATCGAGAAATCAGCAAAGTGTTACTTGGTGCAGAGCACACATTTTTGGCACAAGATATTTAGTAAGAATTCACTAATATCCTCAGAACTCGGATTCGAAGAATGTTCTAAAAATGTTTGTAGATATTAAAGCCTTAAGATTAAGATCGAACATTTTCGAGCAGGGCAAGCATTTTGAAAATTGGATTGGACTTTGCTTGATGCCCGAGCATCTAGAGCTCTAGTAGACGAAGGTACATATGAATTCTAAAAACTATAAATTTCTATACATTTATAAAATTAAACAGCTACTTTTCGTTTCTATTTTATATATACATATGTATGTGTGTATTCAGTAGCCAACATTAGTCTGAGTGCAACCTTCAAACTCCATAAATTACATTAAAGCAAAAATCTACAGCTGAGACTCATCAATTGAGCTTTTGCAAGCTTTTATTTTTATTTTCTCGTTTCCCTACATTTCACTCCCATTCATTTGCTATATATACAGATGTATATATATATATCTATATAGACATTTACAACGCGCTATCATTCCCAGTGGCAAAAGATAAGGTCTTGGAAGTGAAAAGGTAAAGTGCAAATTGTGTCTTAGATGTCTGAATTCATCGCCGAAAATTAGTACGGGATATCAAAGCAAATGTAAGGAATCCCAGTCTCCTTTCCAAAAATCATTTGCAGTAAGAGAAGGGTTCATGTGTGCTATTTTGGTTATTACTACCTTACGACTACGCTTACTGAGTAAGCGCGCATTTT